AACGACCTCGCTATGAGAGAGTCGGGCGTCGTCGCGAGTAAATTCCTTCTATTTATTTGGGATGATCCTTGGGATGACCAACTTCATACACGGGCACAGGCGATTGTCCAGCACTATAGACATCGTACGGTATGATCAGTACAAAAAATCATGGATTTCATTTGGTACAATCTCTAGGATGACCAATTTCATATATGGTCAATCGTATCGTACGAATTATATCGTACAGTACGATCAATCACAATAATTGTCTATGATTTGATTACCTGATATCGAGGGATTATTTAAGAAAGATTTTAATTAGGGCATAGAGTACAAACCAAATCTTACTATACGACCAGCACAAAATTATAATCTTTTTTAAACTTTGGCAGCTAGGATTTTGACAAAGCACAATGGATTGTATAGTATGAATTAAAATCCTATAATACAAAACATGGTCATACAATATGAAGCCAAAATCATATAGTATGATATACATAAGAAAACCTCTCTCAAGCACATTTTTCTGTCTCCCTCTGTGTGTGCAAGGTTACTCAGCAAACATACACCTCTTATAGAACTTTGACTAAAGAAATGAAATAAACATATTAATGAATATTATAGACTCTTTATAATATGAACTACTCTACCCAATCTTGAGCCCTATATCTATGTTGGATGGTGCATGGTGTTCCTGAAATATTAGTACACACACAATAAAAAAAATATCATAGAAATATGAGAAAGCAGTTTCTGAGACAATAATATTTATTATCATTAAAATCATAGTGCTTGAATTAGGTTTGCAATAATGGGCTCAATCGATTTCGGAATTGCAAATAGGGTTTTGGTCGGGGCTGCTTGCAGTTGAAGGGATCAAGGCTTCAGGAGAAGGAGAATAAACAACGAGTTCATTCTCATTTTAACGCCAAGGAAGATCGTGTAGGAGGAGACATTGGACATGCAGAGGTGATGGCCTAGGACATCCAAACCATAATATCTGTGTGATTTTATGGACTACTTTAATGTGCAATAGAGAATGGCGTCAAACAAGTATACAATTCGAGCGATTTTTTTTCCTATTATGTTTATAGGTCAATAATTCAGAAATATAAGTGATAAATATGTAAAATAAATATAATAATGAGACTTTTAGAAATTTTAAAATGATAATAAATGAAGATGATAAAAAAAATACTATCTTATTAGAAGGAAAATAAAGTTATCTAAGAGGATTGGCATTGAATATGAAGGGATTGAGATGATTCTCAATTGATGCAGTGTGCATTTTAGTGAAATGGTAAGAGGTTGTTTGGGATCATTTTCATTTCTTATTTTTAAATTTATATTTGAATTTTAAAATGGAATAAAAAATATTTTTATCTTAAAATTATATTAAATTTGTTTTTTTTAATATAAAATAAATTGGAAAATATTTTGGATTTTTTAATACATGTTTGGTTTATGTTATTTAGCTATTTTTTAGTTTTTATTTATGAAATAAATCAAGCTATCTTTTAAAATATTCTAAATAATTTTCAACCATTTACATTTTGCTTTAAAATTAGAACCATCTTGGACACCAGACAATATCATCAACTGTCATCACTATCCTATGCAATATTCAATAAAAATTAAAAATAATACATATTTATGATACCAAATATATGTTTATTTCATATTAGAACATAAATAAAATAGAACAAAATATAAAAAAAAATAAAAAAAAATATGATCCCAAATGAACTCTTGATTTATTCAATGGTAGCAACATCCATCAATGAGCAAAGGTGGTCGTGATCGGAGAGGTGATGATGGAGATAACATTCAATAATGGAGAAAAATAAGATTTGATTAAGCTATTTTCATGGAATTTAGTTATATATGAATCTTAATCATTCATGAATCAATATATGTATTATATAAAATACTATAATTAATCCTTAGAATTCATTGAAGAAAGACTTTCAATGCTTAAAAATTGTGATTCCTTAGATTTAAACTAATAGAAGAAGAAAGTCAGCTAGACATCCTCTGGTATAAGCTATGAAGTCTTGATGTATGGTAAGCTAATAATAATTTTGCATGAGCACTTTTATTGTGAGAGTTTTTGCTGTTGAGTAGTTTCTACCTTACTCAAGTGGATTTACTTTTAAGACCTATTAAGCTTCATTATATAAAAGGCTTTTGAGCATAGCCCTGCATTGGGTACCCACAACCACACCCACCCACGTACCCACCAATATCCAATGGGTATGGGTATGCCCATGTTGACCTTAACGCTACAGCCAAATGAAAAGGGATAAATAGAGAGCATAAAATCATTACCTACTCATATATCTGCCAGACATCTCAATATCCTACTACAGTATCCCATCTTACATTGTGAATAGCGCCGAAGCTTGAAGCCTATCCCTCATGTACACGACCTTGCCTCAATCGCTACCCCTTTCACGCTGTTAAAAGTGAGAGCTTCGCTCTTGTTCAATTTCTTCCACATGCTTAAGTCTTACAAGAAGCCCTCTTCTTCTCTGACTCATTATCATGCTCCAAGCTTCAGTAAACTCCCACAAAGCTTCCACCACTTCTAAAAGCTTCTAATCCATCTCCTCTTACCGATCTCAACCAATGACACCTAATGCTAAAACTTTGATTTCTCCTCTTGCTCACTTCTTCCATGTGGAACTCATATGCACTAGCATCCACACACGACTCCAAATCCCTTAACCTATGTTGATGCTATATGCAAGATAACACATATCTTTTTCTAATTGATGACTAGCCTTAATTGAAAGTTCTCTCTCATTACCAGGAGAGGTAATTAACTATAGAGGCTTGAGCTTATAGGAAACTAGAACTTAGACCATAAAATTCTCGCAAAATGAGGGCAAAATCTTTGGGTAGTGTTTTATTAACAAACCTATATGCCTTCCCAAAATTTACCCTAGAACTTAATGCACACAGATTTCTGGCGACTCCACTGGGGATTTGGTTTCTCTTTTCATCTTTGGCTAGTAATCCCAATGCTATAATAGCAGCTAATCAATACAGCTCAAAATTTTAAATTCCTTGAAATGATCATTCAATGAATTATAGTTTTTTGAATATCCTAAAAATGATCACTCAACAAATTCATTAAATTCATTATGCAGGCCTTTAAGTCTTTCTTTAATTGTTTGCTTATGTTGTCTATTTTTATTCTTCTGTTATGTGCAAGTCTCTGTAATTTGAAAGTGTGGAGTGATTTATCAGATACTGATTACTAATCATTGCCTTTCATTTATGAAGATGGATCTACATAACACTTCCTTTACCATCCAGTTGGGATGTGATGCTAGTATCTAGGTAGGAGATATTGTGATTAATAATGGCAATACTGGAGCCACCATTTAATTTGGTGGTCTATAGTTCACTACAGCTACTGCAATGGCTATAATCATCCCTATATATGTCATGCATTCTGAAGGGCTTACTAGGAGGCCCCATTCTAGTAGAATTATTGCATGTCACATACATCTGTCAGTGTCATGAGTTACTTCTCCTATTGATGCTAAGAATCATTATAGGAGGATCTCTGTATTTGAATGACTGTCAAAACCAAAAGGTCCAACCACCAAGATGATTATGACTGGTGGAAAGATCTCCAGGGCCACTGCTTTGCCAACCGGGTTACCTATATTCGGGAAGAATGACTGTGAAGCCTCTTCATCTAGGGTAAGGCTTATAAGGAGTCAGAGAAAAAAAAGAAAATTATTAAGCTTCGAGCTTAGAAAAAACTACCAATTCACCCATCCAACCTATCAGCTCAAGAGCCAGAAGCTACAATTCCTACCCATAATAGGTTTACGGACCTTAGGTGAGTCAAGAGAAATAACTACACTAGAGAGTTGAAGAGGTTATTCTGGGACCAATAGCCTGAAGCCCCAGTTTCTTAGAAGAAGAAGGAACATTGGATGCTTTCAAATAGGGTATACCGAGTCTTAAACACCGTGAAAGAGGAAGAGCAAAAAAAAGAAGAACCAATAATCATTGATAGTCAAGGCCAGAAGAACACTGCAAAGAGAATGCCTATCCATTGCAGTGGATAGGAAAGAAAGAAAATAAGTTTTGCCTGGTGAGCATTGGGGTGTGACCTGCCGTCGAACGGCCCGATGGAAGGGAAAGAAGATATAGAATATAAAGACTCAGAGAGATGCAAAAAAAAGAAAAGAAAGAGAAGTAAATCTAGGTGTGACATTCTTTGCAGATTCCCAAAGATCCGCCCTCGCTAGCATACAATATCAAAAGTGGGTTCCAAAGAAAACCCATGATGACATCTATCCCGATGGTCGACACCTTGGAGAATCCTCTAGGGGATCCCGTCATATGTTGAATCCATCAAAGAAAGAAACCAACTTCAACCACAACCTGTGTGGTGAGGAAAACGTCTTACCTAATAATGAACTGAATATCCAATGGCGCTGTCGCTCAGAGATGCAAGTATAAGAAGAAGATGCCATGGACATGGAAGTTCTCTATAATTTAAGGCATGAATACAAAGATGAGGGTGATGATGAAAGTGATCGATCGCTCATATAGATAGAACGACACCACTATAGGGTTGTGTCTGTTGCTAGTAGAAGTGGCCACTCTTTGAAAGAAAAAATGGAAGAAGGATTTAAAGAAAATCCATTTGCTACCGAGAATATCACACTTACTAATATGCGATGAAAAATGAAATGTCATATGAGGGCAAAAGATAAAGATATAACTTAGTTAAATGAGAAGATGATTGAGATGATGACTCAAATAGAAACACTGATGCAAATAATATAGAGAACTGTTGTCGTCAGTCCC